ACAGCGGCTCTAGGGCACCGAAAGCAGGCGGTGAGATAGAGCTGTTCAGAGAACCCACGAACACACAACCTTCAGCATGCGTAGTTTTTTACAGCGGACCTGTGATTTGAGATCTGAAATCAAACAAAATGCACAATGAGGATTAGTTCAACATTGAATGGAATGCAATTGAATGGCTAAACAGGTGGAGGACATGGTTTCCACAGTCCAAACAAGCCGACAAAAAGAGAAAATCTGCGGGAAGTGTTGCTGCAGGAGCAAGGCAATTCCAGAACAAGCCTTTTGGGTTTTATTTTTGATCAGACCCAGTGATGCTCGAGATACCATAGGGGAAGCTGGACATCAAAGGTAGGCAGCGTCTGTTGGCGAGCACCCTCCGTGATGCACTGCTGTTCTGGTCCTAATAAGCTTCACTATGGGCTCACAGCCACAATTTAACATACACACAATAAAATATTTTGTGGTGCGTATAAGAGTACAGCAGGTAGGCATTTGCCTTGCATGAGGCTGACAGGGGTTGATCCTTGAGCATTGCCAACAGCAACTTATGAGAAACACCAGGAATAACTGTTGGTCATCCCCAGTCCCAAAAACAAAAGAAAATTCAATTTCTTCCTATATTCAAAAAAACATGGCAATGATTCAAAGGCAAAGATAAGCAGATAAGCATGGTGTCATATTGACAGAGAGGGGTACAGAAAGGGTACCCGGCCCTGTAGGTGTACAGTGAGGCTGGTTTTTCAGCTGGGGGGGGACAAGGGTCTTGAAACTCATGACTATTCGGCATACCTGACAGACGAGGAAGAATGACAACAAAGTCAAGAAAGCAAAGGACAGGATCTCTCCGTAACGAACAGCTCCGGGGAATGAAGGGCAGCGTGAGTGCAGTACAGACGCCTGATCCAGTGGCCCGAGGACACAGTAGCATGTTTCACACACACAGGGCACGCACACACTGCCCAGGGACCCAGCCAGGAAGGGTCCTCAGACACTCACCTGTACACACCTCACCTCCCCGGCTTTAGGGCTCCTCTTCCAGCCTAGAGATTAACGCAGGCTTCACCCCAGAAGGCCCTGCTCCGCAGAGACAGAGGACTGGATTAGTCACAAGGAAGGAAAAGGCGACAAGTAAACCTCATGTGTCCCTGGTCTAACTGGTCACACTATTGAAAAGGCATGATCATAACGTCCACTTTCAATATGCCAACGATTGGTGGGGAGTGAGGAATAAGACAAGGTTTAAACTTAAGAGTAAAATAAGGGAGTACCAGATAATATCACTAAGCTACCAGCACTGTATGCAGTTTTGTTTTGGGTTACAGTTGGCGATGCTAAGGGTTAATTCTGTATCCGTGCTCAGGAATCATCTCTGGTAGTATTGGCTCCATGGAAGGTCAGTGATTGAACCTGATTTGCTTTACGTAAGGAAGCGCCCTCCCCACAGTGCTTTTGGAACATCTGCAATTCCCTGAATTTCTCTTTTACCTTTACTTTGAGCTTACAATTCCCCAAGTGAGGTTTGATGACTTAGGTGAATCTGAGCATTGTATTTGAAGTGAATACTTCCTATTCTATATTCCCATTAGCCCTTTTATACTCTACTATAGAGCAATGTTCTTTGCTTAACCACAGATAGACTATTAATGATAGGCTCCTAATATTTGGCCCATATCCTGAAATACATCTACTCCTGGCACCTGTCATATTTACTTGATTCAAGCTTCAGTTGCCATACTTCCTAACACTCCAAAAAGGAAGGCCCCCATAGGGCTGAGATGGATCTGGGGAAAATAGCAAAACTACCCCGGAATCGAAATGGAATAGTCTAGAAAGCATGAAAGAACAGTCCTGATATTAGCTGTTATGACTTAAGAGACAGGACCTCATGAAGGACAAGCTGTACCGGCCTGAAGACCTAGTATGGGGTTTATGGTAGAAGCCCAGCAACCTTGCCCTCAGAGTCCAGAGAACTAAATTTTGGAATCTATATTTCTTACTATTTTTATCCACATATCTGCAATTATTAATAAGAAGTAAATTTAATTGTTTAATATTTTCTAGTAGATGAAGAGGAAAGCAATATAATGCTGTTGACCCTGGGAGAATCTCTCTGTATAGCCACTGGGAGACAGTGTATCCTTGAATTCTCCAGAATTGTCTCCATCAAAACCCTTTACCTCTGTAGGGGCTGGAGCCATAGCACAGCAGGAAGGGCATTTGCCTTGCACGCAGATGATGAGGGTTCTTTTCCCAGCATCCCATATGGTCCCTCGATCACATCCAGGAGTAAATTCCTTAGTGCAGAGCAAGGAGTTACCCCTGTTAATGGCCAGGCGTGACCCAAAAACAAAAACAAACAAAAATGCTTTACCTCTGTAAACGATCAGTCACCCCTATGTGTAGTCCTATAGCTCAACAACCTTCAATGCTCTGTATTATGCTAAAAGCTTCACATTAAACAAGCCATTCTGACCATCAGTCAGTGGTTCTCCATATCTTTGTTCCTCTTCTGACTCCAGCATAATGTCCCTTTAGAGATTCCTCTGAGAGGCAATCAGGTATGTTCATCCTTCTGGGGTGAAACTCACTGCCATGTTGACAGAGGTAACCACATTTCGAACCAGCACACACTAGGATAGGAGGAGGCTATCCCAATCCACACAATGGGCCTGAGGATGAGACACTGCAGCACCCTAGGGGTTCTCAGGGATCTCCCTTCTCCCCACTCCAGAAGGGAGGAACCAGCCTCCACCAATACTTTAGGGTGACGGGCCCCAGTAGTCACTGGATGGAATCCTGATATACCACAATGGAACTATATTAGAAGCTGATGGACTTGCACGCAGTCATCCCAGAGACAAACCCAATGAACAATGCTCCTGTGAGTAACACCTAAGCACTGACCCAGCAGGACCAAAAGAAAGCAACACTGGGTTGGACCAAAACTCTAGACACTCCTCCCCCATGCCATATAGTCACATCAACTGTTCTAGGGGTGAGAAGGGGACACTCAATGTCCAGTGAGCAACTCAAAGGTGTTGTGGACTGGAGGACTCCTGGGTTGGCCACATGCAAGCAAGTACCCTACTTGCTGTACTATTGCTCTGGCCATTTCTAAATAAATTTATTTTCCCAGCACACCAGCAGTGACCCCTGAGCAAAACTCCCCTTCCCCATACTGAAATATCTCCCTTTCAGGAAAAGATAAAACAACAAGTATACTGATGTAGCCACCCCCAAGAGCCAGTTTTCCTGATGTTCTGGTCAGGGAGAGATGAAGAGAAAGGGATTGTTTGCAATTGGACATGTGGAAGTAGAAAAAATTACTTGCAGTATTGTTGTTTATTCGGCTATTGATTAGGCTGACTGAAATGGGCATCAACTCCACCGTACTTTCCCCCTTTTTTTTGATAATTTTATTTTTTGAATCGCCCTGAGTGAAGTTACAAAGCTTTTGGGTTTGTCTCATTCATACAATGAAGCACCAGTCCCTTTACTGTGCCAATTTTCCGCCACCAAAACCCCAAGTATACCCCCATTCTACACCCTCCCCCTAACTGTTGGGGCAGATGATTTCTACATTTCTCTCTACTTTGATTACATTCAATATTTTGACACCAGACCCACCATTATTATATTTGGGATTTAACCCCAGCACTCAGATAGTTCAAAAAGGCAACAGTAGACAATTTGTTTTCTACTGCTGGTTATAACAACATGATTTTGTAATTTTGAAATTTTAATAATATGGAGGGATTTCTCCCAATACCTGCTGAGTTCCAGATTTTCTCCTGACTCTCTGGGATCATGGCCATTAAGCAGCTTTATCAGGAGCCAGAGAGGCGGTTCGTGGGCATGATCTAAGCTATTGTTGGGTCGTGGAGGAAAGGGCCACCTCCACCCCCATCCCCCCATCTTGTGAAGCTCCACATATCTCATCACTGCGGGCCCAAACGTGACTTTCCAATGGCCTCTGGAGGATGGTGGCCAGCGAGCCGCCAAGGGGGAGCAGGTGGAGGGACAGCACCACTTCCCTCTGGGGTGGCCCGGGGTTAGTAACCTACTGCAGGGTCCAGACTCATTTCTGCCAAGAGCCGCTGGGTTTTGAGATTTGTCTCTGAATCTTTGGGATCATAGCCATTAAGCAGCAGTGATATCAGAGCAGGTAGGATGTTTGCCTTGCACGCGAAAAACCCGGGTTCGAATTCTGACAACAATATGTTCGCCTGAGCACTGCCAGGAGTAATTCCTGAGTGCATAAGTCAGGAGTAACCCCATGTGCATCGCTGGTTGTAACTCAAAAAGCAGAAAACAAAATAAATAAATCATACAAACAGTAAATTTTCAGAGGCAAAACCCTCTCACTTGTGCAGACACACCCCAAAGTCCCAACCCCAGCACAGGAGCCAATAAAAATGGCCACAACAGTGTCCCTTTCCTTCCGGGGCTTCCCGTGAACATATCTGGAGGTTTGATAAGTGTTATCTCCAGTCCAAAGGCTCCAAAAAGGGCCCTGCGCAGTCCCGAGTAGGGAGGTATGAGATGGCCAAGACCACCACTCTCTGCAGGTCCCTCACACCAAGGCCCAAAGTTCATGTGGCATCTTCGACCTGGATGTGATCTTGGCTGCAGGGACCCTCAGCATAACGCACCCTCACCCATGACACCTCCATCACAGAACAGCTCCCAATGCAACCCTCAGAAGCTCCACATTCCCTAATACCTAGATATGCAGAAAAAGTTTTGAAAAAAACAAGCACAAAAACGCCCTACAAGCTGGCATGTCCTGCCGCTCAAGTTCCCAAACTAGGAGCTGCAGGGTGCTCAAGCAGTGTTTCTCCAGCGTGAATGTGCCTGTGTTCAATAAGTCTGAGGCTCCAGCAAAGGCCTTTCCACATTCCTTACATATATATGGTTTCTATCCAATGTAAATTCTACTATATACATTAATTATTGAGGTCACAGCAAAGGCCTTCCCACATTCCTTATATATAAAGTTTCTCTCCAGTGTGAATTCTCCTATGTACAGTCAATTGCGAGGATGTAGTAAAGGTGTTTCCACACTCCACACATATATAAGGCTTCTCTCAAGTATGAATTCTCATGTGTATAGTAAGGGAAGAGGACAACGTGAATGCCATTCCACATATCTGACACTGATGAGATTTCTCTCCACTGTGAATTCTGCTATGATTCCGAAGGTACTGAGATTGACCGAAGGCCTTCCCACATTCTTTGCAGATATAGGGTTTCTCTCCAGTGTGAATTCTCCTATGTTCACTAAGTCTTGAGGCTTTAGCAAAGGCCTTCCCACATTCCGTACATATATATGGTTTCTCTCCAGTGTGAATTTTCATATGTACAGTAAGTCTTGAGGCTGCAGCAAAGGCCTTCCCACATTCCTTACATATATACGGTTTCTCTCCAGTGTGAATTCTCCTATGTACAGTAAGTCTTGAGGCTTTAGCAAAGGCCTTCCCACATTCCTTACATATATACGGTTTCTCTCCAGTGTGAATTCTCCTATGTACAGTAAGTCTTGAGGCTGCAAAAAAGGCCTTTCCACATTCCTTACATATATATGGTTTCTCTCCAGTGTGAATTTTCCTATGTACAGTAAGTTCTGAGGATGTAGCAAAGGCCTTCCCACATTCCTTACATATATACGGTTTCTCTCCAGTGTGAATTCTCCTATGTACAGTAAGTCTTGAGGCTTTAGCAAAGGCCTTCCCACATTCCTTACATATATACGGTTTCTCTCCAGTGTGAATTCTCCTATGTACAGTAAGTCTTGAGGCTTTAGCAAAGGCCTTTCCACATTCCTTACATATGTAGGGTTTCTCTCCAGTGTGAATTCTCCTATGTTCACTAAGTCTTGAGGCTATAGCAAAGGCCTTCCCACATTCCTTACATATATACGGTTTCTCTCCAGTGTGAATTCTCCTATGTACACGAAGGCTTGAGGCTGCAGCAAAGGCCTTTCCACATTCCTTACATATATATGGTTTCTCTCCAGTGTGAATTTTTCTATGTACAGTAAGTTCTGAGGATGTAGCAAAGGCCTTCCCACATTCCTTACATATATACGGTTTCTCTCCAGTGTGAATTCTCATATGTACAGTAAGTCTTGAGGCTGCAGCAAAGGCCTTCCCACATTCCTTACATATATACGGTTTCTCTCCAGTGTGAATTCTCCTATGTACAGTAAGTTCTGAGGATGTAGTAAAGGCCTTCCCACATTCCTTACATATATACGGTTTCTCTCCAGTGTGAATTCTCCTATGTACAGTAAGTCTTGAGGCTGCAGGAAAGGCCTTTCCACATTCCTTAAATATATAGGGTTTCTCTCCAGTGTGAATTCTCCTATGTTCACTAAGTCTTGAGGCTTTAGCAAAGGCCTTTCCACACTCCTGACATATATAAGTCTTCTTTCCACTATGAGTATTCTTATGTCTATAAAGAGACGAGGTGTGAATAAAGGCCTTCCCACAGGTCTGACATTTATGAGGTTTCTCTCCACTATGAATATTCATATGTCTATTAAGATCTGAGGGCCGATTAAAGGCCTTCCCACATGTCTGACATATATAAGGCTTCTCTCCACTATGCGTTTTCATATGTCTATTAAGATCTGAGGGCTGAATAAAGGCCTTCCCACATGTCTGACATTTATGAGATTTCTCTCCTGTATGAATTCTCCTATGTCTAAAAAGATGTGATGATTTATTGAAGGTCTTCCCACATGCTTCACACGCATAAGGTTTCACTCCTGAATTTATATTCATATGGTCATGATGGAGTAACCCTTGACTCACGCTTTGTTCTCGGTGCTCACTTTTCCAGGGATGCTGTCCACTGTAGTTTTCTAAGGGAATTCCACAGTGCTGAGAACATGGGGAGGCTCCGCCACATTCCTTACACTTAGATGGGTTCTGTTCACAGTGACTGTGATTGAGAGTTTGTCGCTGTGAGGGACTCACTATAAACAGTGCTTCTTTCCCTAGTGGCATCCAGACTAGGGGATTTTGTGACTTTGAACTGAGAACACCACACTCCAAGGAACTTTTTCCAAGGGAGGGCTTCTTCAGAGTGAGGTAGCTCTCGCCATTCTGATCACCCTCAGAAGACATCCCACACATCTTGGCATCCTCATGGGGTTGAATGCAGGATTGCTCACTAGAGATATTGTCATAGAGTGCAGAATCAGAGATATCCCACTTGGGTTGGTTGCTTCCCTGTAGGAAGAGCAGAGAAGGATTCCAATTATTAACTTATTCACCGAGTCTTCCTGTCAAAAAACTGAGCCTTCAGATGTGGTTTCTTTTTGGGGGGGTCACACCTGGTGATGCACAGGGGTTACTCCTGGCTCTGCACTAAGGAGTTACTCCTGGCAGTGCTCAGGGGTCCATATGGGATGCAGGAAATCAAACCCGGGTTGGCCGCGTGCAAGGCAAATGCCCTGCCCGCTGTGCTATTGCTCCAGCCCCAGGTGAGGTTTCTAACATATGCACCACACAAATGTAATTACCTACGTAAGGATTGTCTTATTATAGAATAACTTCGTGTAAATGTAAGTTCGACGCACAAAATTGATGGAAGCAGATTCATAAAATTCTGTGACTTCTCCCCACCTTTAACTTAATGAAGGAATATAACTGGAAATAATTCCTTCTATAGAAAACTGATGCATCCATTTCAAGAGAAAATGAAATACAACCACAGTGGGTTTGATTAAAGCTCAGAGTGGAACCTGTGATGAAAGGGTGAAGATAACGCTGCATCCTCACACAGCTGAGACAGACCACGTGGCTATTGCAAAGCTCCCACCACAAGTGATTGCTTTCAGGATCAACAAAGTTTTTTGTTCTTAATGTTTTGTAGTTTCTATTTATTGGGGGTTGGGTGGGCAGAGGGGCACACCATGCAGTATCTAGGATCAGTTCTGTGTGTCTACGGTGTCTATAAGGAGTGCTGGGTAAGGATCATCCATCCCTGTGCAAAGCAAGTATATTTCTCACTGCATTATCTCCACGGCCCACAAATTAGTTTTTTAAATGACTATAACTGTCAAGCAAATGAAAACTCACAGCATTTTTATACATGGTTGATTTCAGCACCTAGTAAAGCTAAGGGTCCTCTACCCCAAGCATCAGGCTTTGGAATTCCTCCCTGCCATTCACAGCCCTCCACCCTAACAATCACATATTTGGTCCACTCCCCCTGGCATAATAATTTATTCCGAATTAAAAATCTTACCAACTCACTCGTACTTGCAGACCCCATACCCAAATCAAAGTGCTGTAATGCCAAATCTTGAATCTGTGGTTTCAGCTCTGAAACTGAACACAACATGCAGTTAAAGCAATTGTCAAAAATGTAACAAAATGATGCCATGTAGTTGGAGTACATCTCTGTGGTATTCAAAGTCCATAAAATCCTACACTAAAGAAAAGATTAGGTTAGTGGAAAACGGTAAGGATCTTTGCAATTCAACACTAGGTTTTGTTTTAGTTTTTGAGCAGACCTGGTGATGTTCGGGGAACCAGGTTATTGAACAGGTCACTTTCAGGCACTGCAAGGCACTCCCTGCTGTACTATCGTTCAGATCCAAACTAGCTCTGTTATGGTCTTACTTATTCGAAAGCCATGGAAGCAACTTACAGAGTCATTCTGGACAGACATACGATGGGAATGAAGAGGAGTGTGAGTGTGGCACAGACCCATGGATCCAGGAGCCCAAGGCCCCAGCCTCAGCAGCGTGTTTCATACATGCTCAGGGCACCCATACACTGCACAGGGCCTGAGCCAGGAAGGGTCCTCAGACACTCACCTAAACACAAGTCTCTCCTCCCTGACCTCAGGGCTCCTCCTTCCAGCCAGGAGATCACCGCAGGCTTCATCCCAGTGTGCCCTGCCACAACAGAGACAGAGGCATGGATAAGTGACAAGGAAAAGGTGACAGGTAAATCCCCGTGTTTCCTGATATAAAGGCATGAACACAATGTCCATTTCCAAATTGCCACATATTTCTAGTTATTCGAAAGGTAAGACCCAAGAAAATACCACAAATACAATAGACCAGGCCTTGTGTATGGCCGACAGGGTGTTGATCAGCACAGTATGTTGTTGGTTTTTGTCTTGTTTGGGGTCTAACCTGGCAATGCTCAAGGACGACTCCTGACTCTGTATTCTGAAATCAGCACTGCTGGTGCTTGGGGATGACATGGGATGCCGGGGATTTAACCCAGGTGCATTGCTTGCAAGAAAATCACTTTCCTAACCATACTGTCTGTCTAGGCCTAACACCACATGGAGTTTCCTGAGCCCCTAATGAACTCATCAAGAATTTCAGTAAAACTAAGTGCTTAATAAATCTGGAAATGGCCAAAGGTGGCAAGAGACCCTTATTTTGTTAATCTAAAAATGTATCCAGAAAGAGAGCACAGCAGGAGTTTCTCACAGCCAATCCAGTTGCAATACCCGACATCCCCTAGGGTCCGTCACGCCAGCCAGGAGTGATCCCTGAGTTCAGAGACCAGGAGAAAAGCCTGAGTCCTGCTGAAGTCTCACAAGAACCATTAGAAGTATCTCCAAGCACTGAAATACGGCAGTGTCAGATGAGTTGAGAGAAGATATATCAAAGCCCCAGTGGTGGGAGAGATAGAACAGCACATAGGACAGAAGTGCTGCACACACATGTGGGTTTGATCACAGGCAGCCCATAAGGTCTTGGAGCAAGGTCAGGTGTGGATCCTGAATACACAGGCAGGAATAATCCCTAATCACAATCACAACCATCCTGTTATTCGTCGATTGCCTCAAGCAGGCCCCAGTAACGTCTCCTTCGTCCTAGCCCTCAGATTTAAAAAACAAGTCCCATATTCAAGGCTCTTTCAGAATTAGGAGAATGAGACCCTTCATTATTATTAGTATTTGGCATATTGGGTACTCCACGGGGAGTTTGCCAGACTCTGACATGTGGGCAGGTTACATACGGTAGCCTGCCAGTTTGTCCAAAGTAGGAATGAGAAGATAAGATGTCGTAAAGGGTGTGATAATCTCTGGATCCTGGCCCTTACGTTATTATTATTATTACATAATAATAATTATTATTACTATTATTATAATTACTATAATAATTACTATAATAATTATTATTATTACTATTATGTGAATGTAATAATGAAAAGAATCAGGCCGTAATCCTGATTCTTTTTTCCTAATACCTAAGGAAAAAAGAGAAAGTAAAATCCGTCTGATTTGAGTGCCTGGTGCAAAAATATTGGGAGTCATGCACCAATGTTTTAAATTGCCAAGAGGTTTCAGTCCATGGTATCCCGGTTTCTGTGCACTCTTAGGAGTCATCGTTTAGCACAGAGCCAGGAGAACTGTGGACTGTGCTCCCTAAACAAAGGCAACAGAAAAGCCAATTAAACACACGGAAGTTTGTGTAGTACACAAAGCCAATTGATTCACCAATGGATGAAACTATTTAAAGGGACCTGAGTGATAACTGGGCAGATAGGGATCTTCCCACGGACACAGTCGAAACGGGTTGATCTGAATCACCCCACAGGGTCCTGCTACTCCACAAGACTGATTCCTAAGGACAGAGCTGAGAGTAAGCCCTGAGTATCCACAGGTGAACCCTAAAAAAAACAGGGAGGGAACAAACACCTCATGGCTGTTCAACATACCAGCCCGTCAGTCACAGCTACTGTTGGACACACAGCTGCGGCCCAAACCCAGGGAGCCCAAGCAGGTCTGTCCAGACAGGGTTGGCTCCACACTGCTCTCACCTACAGCCTGCAGATGCTGGTAGGTCTCCAGCATCACGTCCTTGTAGAGCTTCTGCTGAGAGGCCGCCAGGCATGACCATTCCTCCGGGGTGAAGTTCACAGCCACGTCGTGGAAGGTCACTGCGTCCTGAGTCAGCACACAGGGAGGGTGGCAGTTAGAGTCTACCTTAGTCTCATCCCCACTACTGTGAGGCCAGGACCCAGAGTCCTATATTGTCGCTAGTCCTCTCCCCTTCGAATGAACCAGCCTCCATGCAGACGCATGGCTGACGGGCCCCAGAAATCACATAAGGCAGCTGGATCTGTGAAAGTGGGAGGATGTTATACAGAAAGTTCTCGGATATATCTGCCTTTCCTGGTAACCCAAGGTCCAATTCGAGCACCACTGGTCCAGTGAGCACTGTAGAGAGGATCACCTGACCGCAGACTTGTACGATCCAAAAAACCATCCCTGGGTGCAGCAAAAACGACTGCACGCTCACCGCTGCACCCCCACAGCACATGACTACTAGGACTAAGAACTACAGTCCATATAGACAACTACTCAGAGTGGTGCATGGCATGTGTGCCTGTAAGAACACACTGCTCAAGACCGCCCCAAATCCCTCGCAAAGAAGGAGAAGTTTCTTCACCCCAACATCTCTACTGGCCTCAGAGATCCTTGGCTCTTTCTCCTTGCGATCAGCACATGCCCAGAAATCCACACATAACTTTATGTGAATATAAGACTGTATGGCTGAGAAGGCAAGGCTCTCCAGAGCAGGAAGGACAAAACAGGGGAAAAATAAGTCCTGGGGTCCACGTTACTGTAGTTGACAGTACGCAAATGTGGCCAGCAGACCCCAGGGCATTCTGATGCCCATCAGTTGTGAATCCAGAGAACAGAGTAAAGAGGATGGCTGAGTACAAAAACAATGCAAAAGAAAATGAAGCAGCAGGTTGGCGTAACAGGACAGCTGCTCCGGGAACAGCGTGTAGGACTGGCGATCCCCACCATCCCATATGGTCCCACAAGCACTGCCAGGGGCAATGCCAGAGTGCAGCACAAGGATTTCTTGTGAGAATCCTTTGCAATGTACCCCAAATTGTTGATCATCGATTTGCTCAAGCGGGTCCAGTAACGTCTCCATTGGAGACTGCTGTTACTGTGTTTGGCATATTGAATACGTAACAAGAAGCTTACCAGGCTCTGCCGTGCGGGCGAGATACTCTCGGTAGCTTGCCGAGCTCTCCGAGAGGGGCAGGGGCGGAGGAATCGAACTCAGGTCAGCCATGTTGACTGCGTGCAAGGCAAACACCCTACCGCTGTGCTATCACTCCCAAATAAAACAGAAAATTCAAGACAAAATCTTTGGACCTCCAGCATCCCATTGGTTGCCTAGACATGTCAGGAGTGATCATTGAGCACTGAGCTTTGAGTATTCCTCATGCACCGCTGGGTCGGTCCCACAGCCAAATATGGCGCGGTCTGATCGGAAGTCTCAACTTGGAATCCATCCAAAAGAAACTCAAAACAGATCGCCCAGGAAACCCGGGCACTCCTGGCACTACCTCATGCCATTCTGTCCCTCTACTCCTACCTTTGGACGGTTTATCAGAAGCCGCATCACCACCTTCTCCCGCCACTGTTGTGCTGAGAATTAGCAGGAGGCTCTGTGCAAAGACCTGAAGAAGTCAGAACAGTGAGCACCAGAGAGCAGCACCTCCTCCCACCCCTGATCTCAGACCAACCACACCCGCATAATCCCACCTCAGGGAGACAATGGCAGAAGCTCCTGTCTCCACTGGGGATGCAAATTTTGTTGGCATCTGTGCTGCACTTCAGGATAGGAGCCTGGGCCCAGGCAATAGGAGAGGAAACGACAGCCCTCTCTGGTCCCCGAATTCCTCCCTGAATTGCACAGGAAAATCCCTACAGGCCCAGCCTTGGTCTGACTCTGAGTCCCGGTGCTCCCAAGTACTGGCGCCCCTGCAGCTGGCAGCAGTGCTGGCCCCTGGGAACTATAGCCTGGATGTGGATCTGCCATGGGGAAAGTCACAGGGACATAGAGTGGACAAAGCTTCAGCCACTCTCCTGCAGCAGGGACAAGAACATGCGCCTGGGCACTCTGTCCTGGGGACCAAGATCACTTCTGGGTACAGTTGGGTCAGAGGCACAGCCCTGCTCTCTCGCGCTGGACCTGAGACCTTATGGGTCCTAATTTACTCTATCCCTGAAACGGAACATCTGCGTGAGCCTCAGCTAACACTTGCTCCTGCCGTCCAAGAATATATTAGAAAACTGCGCAAACGGTTGAATAGAAAAATAATTCAAATAACCAGGGCATTTACTAGGGTCCATAATATGAACTGTCAGGAGTTAAGACCTGAGCACTGTAGATTATGACCAAAAATACTGCAACAAAAAGGCAAATTCGAAGCACAAGAAACCAACAGAATTCATGTGCAAAATAAGAGGGAAGAACATTTAAATAGACAAATAGCAGGTCCTTAAAACTTTGATTGTCTGGTATGGTTTTCCATGAATTATTATTCTCTTTTTCTACGATCACACGTTTTCTGTGTGCATGTGTATGTGTCCGTGCGGGTGCGTGTGCATGATTTTCTTCTTTGAGTCAGAACCAGCATTGCTCAGGGAGTATTCCTAGCTCTGCACTCAGGTTTCACTCCCAGCAGGTGTGGGGACCAGTGGGATTCAAGACACAGAACGTGGGTTAGCTGTGTGTAAGGCAATCACCCTACTTGCTGTACTTTTGCTCCGCCCCTTCCTATATAAATTTCTTCCAAAAATACTAGGAGTGAGTCATGAACACAGCTCTTCCCCCTCCCCGCACACACAAAAATATTCTTTAAAAAATAAACATTAAAAAGCCCTTTGGAGCTGGAGTGATAGCACAGCGGGTAGGGTGTTTGCCTTGCATGAAGCTGACCCAGGTTCGACTCCTAGCATCCCATATGGTCCCCTGAGCACCGCCAGGAGTAATTCCTGAGTACGAAACCAGGAGTAACCCCTGTGCATCGCCAGGTATAACGCAAAAAGCAAAAAAAAAAAAAACCTTTACCCTCAGTATTTACCCGGATTCCAGTGGTTGTCTGCTCAAGGAAAGATGAAGAGTCAGGTCTGCCTTACAGCTTGATGTGAAGGACCTGAAATTCATGATCCGGAAAAAGATACACCAGTATTGTTGGACAGGCAGTAATGTGACTTGGGCGTTGGACCACATGAACCGATCAATCCTCTGCATCCCATATGGCCCCCAGCAGTGCCAGGGATAATTCCTTAGCTTAGAGGCTAGAGTAAGTCAGAAGCATCTCCGGATGTGTTCCCACTCCCCCCAAAAATAAAAAGAATCAAAAATAGCCCCCCAAATACGTTTTCATTGGCAAACCTCAGGCACCTGCAGGTCCCCTTCCCCCCCCCCCACATACCACACATAACCCTGGCTAAAACGGCAGACAATGAAGATGACCAGCAAAATATCTCCTGCCATGAAGTGGAGGGGCTGAAGCTCTGCCCCTCAAATCTGTAGATTCTAAAGAAGCTAGGTTAGGGCCGATGGTTCAAACATGGGACTGCTGGGAGGGTTGGTACGGCCAAGATCCGGCTGATTCTCGCATTCACCCACTATTGCCCCATCCTGGAGCTGGAGATGATCGTGGCCAAAGAGGCCCCCCGGGATCACACACTCACAGCTGCCACCCCTGAACCCTGAGACAGCCTCCACTGCACCCCCAAAGCTCCGCATCCCCCTAAAGCCTCCACCGCACCTCAGAATACACCTGGATTTCAGAGAACAAGTGAAAAACTAGGGCAAAAGTGCCCCCCAAGCTGGCTCGGCCCCTCAGCTCAGAGTGTGGAAATGGGAAGGCGCGTGGTGCTCACAGGAGGCTGCTCGAATCCTGACATAAAACCCGCCTTCAGAATCCCTCTTTAAGGATAGAGCGCAAATTTACTTGTCCTTTGGCAAGTATACAACAGCCCCAGTGTCAGTGTCAGGGATGGAAAATGAACTATGACATCACTTATGACATCACTTTTATTTCCATAAGGTGCCTTAAAGAGCCAGAGTCTAGGCACTGAGAACCATTTTGCCTCCTAGGTGAATCCGTACTGCAAGGGGGATGGACTCAAAAAAAGGCATGGAGAGGCAAATGCTGGAGTGGTCGATCACACACTATGGGGCCCGGGGGTAAGGAGAAGTCCCCTGATTCTGCAGTTGTCACCAAACATTGAACCAAAGATATCTAGACACACAATGTTACCCTGACTCTTGCAAATGATCCCTGAGCTCAGACACAAGAGTAAACACTGAGTACTGTATGCTATGGCAAAAAATATAAGAACAAAAAAAGGCAAATTCTACCGAAGGGGGGGAAATAATGTGCAATGACAAATTCTAGAGTGAAACATTTAAAGAGTCAAATTTCTGGTCCTTAAAAATTCCCTATTCTTGATCTTTCCCTGCTACCGAAACTCTATTGTTCTTTCTCCATTTTGCATCTTTCTTAATTGTATGTGCATATATGTGTGTATATACATGGACACAGTATGTGCATATATGTGTCTTTGTGTGATTTTTGTTTGGGGGCCACAAACGGCATATTCAGTGCTTACTCTTAGCTTTACACTCAGGAATCACTCTGGTACAGAATATATGGATGCAGGGGTGGAACCTGGGTCGACTGCTTGGATGGTTAAATCCTTACTCACTGTACTATGTCTCTGGCCCTAACTAAATGTGCTCCTAGCACAGCCAAGGTGAACCCTGAGCAAATGTCCTTACTCCTGAAAAACCAAAACTAAGACAGCAAGATGTTTAAAAAACAAAACCCTTTACCTTTGTTGGATTAGAGTTCTAAACAATTTAGGTTTATCATTGGTCCATCATTTCTCTTCTGCTACAAGGAGTTTAGGCTTACTGAGTAACACCCATACCAATGCTCCCGAATCACTCCCATTTCCTTAGTATTCATCTTTAACTTCCAGGTGCTCTGCTTCTCCTATGCATTAATCACCCATTTCCCCTAACCAGAAACTGTGAATTGTAAAGTCAAATTCTTCAGAGATCTCTGGATTTTGTATTTGTGAGTCAAATTTTGACTTTCTATTTCCTTAATGTCCTCTGCAGTTTACTTTAGACAAATATCCTTTTTGCTCCTGGACAAGGACCAGTGCAGTCCCAGTTGGGAAGATTGTGCTGGCAGGATCGGGATGGCCATGCCCCCAGCCCTCAGCTTTGTAGAGACAAAGGAAGACAATGTTATGCTTTTGTAACTTCAGAGTTATCTGACTCCAGATATTATACACTCCTGGGCATTGTCATATTTATGAGACTTAAGCCTCAGCTACTCTTCGTTCTTAGCACCCAAAAAGCAAGAGACTGGATGGACCCAGGATAGTTGTGCGCTACCCTGGCATTAAAAAGGGACAGGTAAGCACCATAAAAAATTTTGTCGTGACCCAAATATAAGTAACTGGGTAAGGATCCTGCTGGGGTTAGGAAGGACTATCCTATCCTGGGGAGTGTAGTCTGGGAGCTATAGGAAATATTCCCAATAGAGACACCCTATAAGCTTAATAGATCTTTTACTTTGTCCATTCAAATTAAACAGAAAGATTAAGTGTCAATTTAAGATGAATGTTTCAATGAATATGAACTACGCAAAGAAAAAATATGTCCTTAGAGAAAATCCTGCCCTTGAGCTGATCTCTCCTTCTGAGTCAAAGTTTTGTCCTAGAAATTTCTCTTCAGGGAAGGGCTTTACATCCTTTGATTGTACAACCACATCTCTGTCTATTTACTACCCCTAACTCTGTGGGATGGGGAATAAAGCCTGTGGGAGATGGGTGAAGAGAGGGATAAAGAGCAGTGGGAGACTGGTATAGGTGCACAGGAGAATGGAATAAGGAGCAAGTTGATCACTGTGAGTCCACAAAGTAAAATGTGCGGGTACAGTGAGTCCACAAACTAAAATGGGGATCCCTTCCCAACAGAGACAGAGAGACAGGGAGACAGAAAACCACACCCTAAGTGAAAAATGGCCCATTTAATGCAGAACAGCTACCATACTTATAGAACATCTGAGGGGTCGTGAGATAAGGACATGGGAGTGACTGATCATTTATGCAAATAAACATTTGTCAGAGGAACTTCTCATTGGGAGATTCACCCAAGGAGACACTCTGTCTCCCAGGGACATCTACATTGCTTTTATCTTTTCATCTAGTTGTATAAGTTATCAATACTTGCAGTTGTTTGGATAAACACAGTAAGAAACAAAGATCCCAACACTTAGTTCTCTGGGCTTTGAGAGCAAATAAGGATTTTAACACTTAATTCTCTGGGCTGTGAGAGCAAGCAAGGTTTTACTGTAAATTCCAGACTAAGACCTCAGGCCAGTTCGGCTTGTCCTTCCCCATGGGGCTCCTGTCTCTTAAGCTGTAACTGTTTGAATCAAGACCATGCACTTCTGCTTTCTACAATATGCCATATGGAAGCCAGGGTAGTTTTGCCACTTGCTCCAGGTCCATCCAAGTCCCACGGCAGAACCTCCCTTTTGGGGTGTTACGAACTACAGCAACCGAAGCATGAGTGAAGTAATGATGACCAAGCAATTATGCCCAGGAGTAGGTAACTTCAGAGTCAATCAACTCCCAAATATTAGGAGCAGAGCATTGATGTCTTTCTGGATTAACCATAGACACTGTTGTGTAGTAAAAACATAAAAAGCTATAGGAGAAACAGAAAAGTGGGTACAAATACACAGCACTTCAACTACAAAGCAGTACAAATATGAAGCTGAGAATTAAGAGAAAGTTATGGCTCATAAGTAATCAAGACTGACTTGGGGAACTGAGACAATGAGAGGTAAAATACAATGAAATGGTTAAAGATAAACTTTAACTAAATTTGGGATGTAAGCAAGGACATGATAAGCTTCTCTGGGTGGAGCAAAAGTGGAAATTCACAGATGAAGCCTAAAATATTGTTAAGTTAATTAATATCCAGCAGATCACCAACATCCTGGCCCCTGTTTCCTTCTTCGATCCTCTCTCACCCTTTACCAGGCAGGGTGGGGAGACCAATCATTGCCACCAAATGCACACAGCTCATGCCCATACATTATTTGAACACAACTCTCAGTACTCAGTGTAACAGCCGCACTTTGCCCTAATCAGGGAGAGATGAAGAGTCGGGGTGCAATTTTCAACTTGATTTTAGGGTACAGAAATTCCACATGTTAGAAAAAAAAACAACAATGTGGAATCAGAGAGATAGTAAGCTGGGAGGGGCGATTCCCTTGCTGACCCAGATCGATACTCGGCATCTCACGTGACCCCTAAAGATCAAAAAAAAAATAATTGCAGAGTGCTGCTCGTGAAGTAAACCCCGAGCTTCCACAGATGTGCCCAAAATACAACCAAAAGTAGCCCCAAATTAAATTTTCACTTGCAAACCGCAACCACCCCTAGATCCACACACACAGGATGGCCCTGGACATCAGGGCTACTAATGAATAGTGACCGAGGGCTACAGTGTCATTTGCCATTGGGGAGCTTCCCCTCTGCCCCTCTAAAATTAACAGTCCTTTTATAGTTTTGGAGGCACCACCGGCAATATGGACGAGAAACTTCTGACTCTGCGCTCAGGCACCCGTCCTGGTGGAGCTCAGAGATCAAACTTGGTGGGCAAGATGCAAAGCAAACGCCCTAACCGCTGTGCTATCTCTCCGGTCCTCTAGGTGAATCTGCAGCTTCTATAGCAGGGAGGTACAGGCCAAAGCGTCCAGGACAGGGCCCAGCGCAGTCCTGTGCTGGGAGGGTCAGGACGGCCCAGCCCCGACGCTCTGCAGCCCCCGCGCTCAGCCCCGCGCCCATTCGCCACTGCCCGCCGGCGGAGCTGAAGGCGACTGTGGCTGTAGGGGATCCCCAGAAACACGCACTCACACCTGTGACCCCTGCGCCCCAGTAGAGCCCCCACTGCACTCACCAAAGCTCCGCGTCCCCCCGCGCTGCAGGAACCGCCAGGTTCTCGGGAAAGGATTGAAAAAAGAGCGCGAAAGCGGCCTCCAAGGTGGCCTGGCCCCGCCCCTCAGCGCGGAGACCGGGAGGGTGGGGCTGGCGCTCAAGGGAGGCCGCTAGTGTCCTGCCACGAAACCGGCCTTCACAGACCCCTTCCACGCGGGACAGCCACTTCGCCCCTCACCTGCATAACAAGTGGAGGCCGGATCCAGCTTCTTGCACGCAAATACCTGAATGCCCTGCTGCGATGTCACTTCCGCTTGTGCAAGCAGCCTTAAAGGGCCAGACACCAGCTGCGCAGAGAACAACTAGGAAATGCAGGTAAATGTGTAAGCCTCGCTGGCTGGCTGGCTGGCTGGCTGGCTGGCTGGCTGGCTGGAACGATAGCACAGTGGACAGGGCATTTGCCTTGCACGCAGCTGACCCAGGTTCAATCATCTGCATTCTATAGGGTCCCCAAAGCAGGACCAGGAGTGTAGAAGAGAGAGGAGAAACCCCTGAACACCGCTGGGTGTGACCAAAAAAGTGGAACTAGATTTTACTGCAAGTGGAATTGGATCGCATAAAGGAACAGAGAAGTGGTTGTTAGAGTGTGAAGTCACAAAGTGGGCGTCTGGAGAAAAAAGTTCCCCGACCCTGTATTGCATAGTGACTCTGAAGCCAGCTCTGGAGATGCAGAGAGGAACTGATCTAGTAACAACACAGATTGCCAGAGAGACACTGGAACAGGAGGAAAGGCTTCTACCCCTTAACAACACGAGAGCCGTGGATTCATGCCTACAAGGAAAACCCCAGGAAGCAGTTTCAGAACCAATATTTCAAACCAACAGTGGCCTGAGGGGTAGTACAGTGGGTTGGGAACTTTCTTTGAACTCGGTCAACCTGAGATCAGTCCCTGACATCCCCAATAGTGGCCTGGGAACCACCAGGAATAACCCTTAAGGACTGTCAGGTTTCCCCAAAAATGAAAATAGATAATTAAGTACGTAAAACACAGAATACAGACCAACCCCCAGCATGGAGGCATGCATGGAGCTAACAGGCAGCAAACCACACTGGTCACTTTGTAGACTGGCTTGGCTTTTTGCACAGATCTACATGGTGTTTACCATTGGCTGAATATTAGATTGTTTTACTGCTTCCAAAGTGTAAGTCTCAAAACAGTAACCCTCAATGTTTGTGTAGATCCAATAGAAAACTGAATACAATGAGTGCTGATATGCTGCAGAGAGTGAAGTGCTTCCTTGCATGTGAGTGACCTGGACACAAATAATGGACAGCGCAGCGGAATGTGGCTCCCAGAACATAACACAGAAGGGCCTGAAGAATGGAGATTTGGCTATCTATTCAATGTCAAATGAGTTCACCGCAGCATCGCGGTTGATGAACCCCCGCAAACCAGGGCCTCTGAGCAAGGCCAAAGTCAAAGCAAAGAATGAAACCAAGGTGAGTCTTGACGGTACCCAAACAAAATGCAATTTTTGTACCTATTTCCATCTTATTTAATTCCTTCCACCTTGCTTTATTACTAAGAACCATTATTTATCCGTTAACATACTTAGAAGTCCACCTACTGGGACATTATCATAACCATGGTCCAGGTGATAATCAGCAAGCACCTTTCACTTGTGGTACTAGTATCACAGGAAGCTTTCACACGTACCAGGATTGTTTCCTTCCTTACTGTACTTTTGTATAAATCCCCCACCCACGTCTTGAAACTAAAATTATTTTACCTAAAGTCCCTGTTCTGACCCCGGCCATTGATATTATGGAATTGGTTGATCCAGCATAACTTTTATATTTACTAAAGCCTGAGGGAACATGATGGTCTTCATCTATTTCTTCCCTACAGGATTTTCTCCAGTATTCTCTTAAAAGGCCTCATGTGCGAATAATGGGCTTCCCACATTCTTACATACATATATATATATATATATATATATATAGTTTTTCTCCAGTATGAATTCTCCTATGCATAATAAGGCCCGAGGATCCAGAAAAGTTCTTCCCATGCTCCTGAGATATATAAGGTTTCACTGCAAAATGACTTTTCCCATGCACAGGAAGGGCTGAGGACAAACTGAAGACATTTCTACATTCCTTACACTTATGAGGTTTCTCTCCACTGTGAATTTTCTTGTTCAGAAAGCTATGTTATTTGCATGAAAATCTTCCATCAGTTTTTACATATATAAGGACTCAATCCAGGATAAATTTTTCTACACACAGCAAAGCTTGAGGATTGAGTAAAGTTCTTCTCACACCCTTATATATGTTTTGTTTTAGTATGAGTTTTCCTATGTTTAATAAGGAGTTAGGGGGAACTGAAGGCTTTGCCAAAGACTTTACAAACACAAGGTTTGTCTCCAGTATGAAATTTTCTGTGCCTCAAAAGGCCTGTGAAATAAGCAAAGGCCTTGTCACACTCCATACATATATGTGGATTCACTTCAGTGTGTTTTCTTGTGGACAAAAATGTTTGAATAGAAAGTGAAGACCCTCCTACAGTAGTGACACGAATAATGTGTAATTACTGTAAGAACTTTCCAATGCTCAGAAGGACCTGAGAAGAAATAAAAAACCTTTTCACCTACCTCACAAATATAAGGGTTTTCTCCAAAATGGAAATTGTGAAAACTACGACTTCAGGAATAAGCAAAGGCTTTCCTACATTGCTCACATGTGTAAGTTATCTCTCCAGTGTGAGTTTTTTGTGTACTAAGACATGTGGAATAAGCAAAGATTTCTCACTCCATACATGCATATGGTTTCTTTCCAGTGTGAATTTTTTGTGCATAATAAGTTGTAAGAGTCAGATAAAGGCCACGACACATTCCATACATGCATAGGAACTCTCCAGTATGAAATTTCCCTTGTATAAGTTATTATGATCCACTAAAGGCCTTCCCACAGTCCTTACACTTAACCGGTTTCTCTCCTGTGTGGATGTTCACATACTCCCACCGGGGTGATACTGGACTCAAGTTTGTCCTCAGTGCTTACATTTCTGGGGATTCTGTCCAGTATGGCTTCTAAGGGAAGGTGATGGTGGTGAGGACATGGGAAGGGTGATCTTCTGATGAACCTCAGAAGAAATCCCACCTGTTTCAGCATCCCCATGGCAATGGGGGTTAAATTGCTCACTTGAGCCTTTATCACAGTATGCAGGAAGAGATATTCCACCAGGGCTGGCTGATTCCTTGTAGAAGAGCAGAGAAAGATTCTAATTAGTAGTATATGCCATGAGAGTTTTCATGTCAAAAGAAATCAAGCTCTGCAGGTAGGTAGCTGGTGGGGCATGGGACAATGATTTTCTTTGGGGAAGTAATAAATCCAGATGGGGGTGAAAGTAGTGATTCCGAAGCCAGCCTTGGGGATAAAGAGTGGAATTGGCCTAGTAGAAACCCAGAGAGTTGGAGACATGGAAAAGGAGCAAAGGCTGGTAAGAACATCAGAGAGCACGGTCTGGACAATGCTCACCCCTTGACAACACACAAGCAGTGGACTCTCAGCTATAAGGAAATCCCCAGGAGGCAGTTTCAGAAACATGATTTCAAACTGAGTATCAGGCTAGTATAGTGGATTGTATGCAGTCAATCTAGGTACAATGCCCAGAATTCCAAATGGCCCCCTGAGCACTGTCCACCCTGAGATGGATGGAATTTTGCTCTATTCAATCATAAATGTTGCCATTTTTCTTCTAATATTATTAAAGTGACATGGGTAGAATCCAGGACTGTGACCAACCTTGTGAGTAATCACAGTTAAATGGAATTGCCTGATGGGATGTGGGAAGCTTGGGAGCTGACCCATATTCCCACTTATAAAATACTTCACCAAGGGGTCTCTTCCATCCTTTCAAACGACATTCTGTGCACAGTAAAGTTCATCTAAACTGTCTCTAATTGAGACCAGTGCAACTGTAGATCAGGGTAAGGTGTTGTTTTCACATGGCCAACCTAGGTTCAACCCCTAGGATCCTGGAGTCTCCCGGAGCACCAACTGAGTGCAGACCCAGGAGAAACCCCTGAGCATCACCAGGTATTATAGGATAATATTGATTTTCCCTTCCTCCCTGGTCTCTGGGAGCTTGTCTTTGTTTATTGCCCCCAAACCTTTCAATTACCTTTATCTCCTGATCAGACATTTACTTTAAATATTGTCTTTCTCTTCTCCTTAATGTCCTTTGTGTGATTAGCGATTTCAGAGCAATTGCATTTTGTATGCATATAGTAAAACAGTTACAAAGACAAGCCTGTGGCTTGGGAGTTGATTATCTCCAGATAATATCACCTGCTGCACATCTGCTCTCTTGACTTAAGCCTCAGTTGTCCTTACTTCCTTGATCCCCAAAATCAGGGTCCTGATGCATCACTGGATGGATCCAGGGCAAGAGGTGAACTAGCTACCCTGGCATCAAAATGGGCCTGGCCAAAGTACCATAATGCTTATCCATAAGTTAAGAGCATGGTCATGGACAAATTCTGTCATAAATCAAAAAGTAATAACTAGACTTGACCCTGCTGGGATTTGGAGTGATTGATCCGGCCTGAGCAATGTAGTCTGAGTTTGTGGTGAGAAGTCCCCAGGAGTGTCACCCCACAAGCCTAAAAATTTCTAGTTCTGTGTCCATACAGAATGGTAAATATTAGGAAGTAAAACTGTCACTGTCACTGTCACTGTCCTCCCGTTGTTCATTGATTTGCTGTAGCGGGCCCAGTATCATCTCCATTTCGAGACTTGTTACTGTGTTTGGCATATTGAATATGTCAAAGGTAGCTTGCCAGGTCTTTCACAAGGCAAACACCCAACCACTGTGCTAAATGTTATTTGCTTGTCTAAGGAGAGGAGAAACACACATTAAGGTGTGCTTTGCCCCCGTGGGCTGCAGGTGATGGGGAAGTCTGGAAAAACAATTTTCATTATGCTTCCCATGGGGAGGCGTGACTGGGGGGCATGGTGAGAGAAGAAAAAAGAGCAGCTTCAGGGAGACAGAGGGATTGAAGGAGACTGAGAGAAAAGGAGACACAGTTAGAGATGGTTGCGACTTAGAGAGAAGGATGAGAGCTGAGAGTAAGAGTGGCTGGGGAGATTGGAGAGGGGTCTCTGAGAGCATTGTAGAGCAAGTTAGAGAGACGGTTGGAGAGAGCTGGGAGAGACAAGGGATTGAATAAACTGCACCTACTCAGCAACCAGCTTGGCCCTCATTCTTCTTTCGCCGGTCCAAAGCAACAGCTGTCCGGGGTGATAAGTGGCTTGAGAATAACAAATGCAGACAGGGAGAGAGCCACCAAAAGTCTGGTACCCATAGGTGTAAAATCATGTACCCATAGGTGTAAAATCATAGTCTGAAAACCTGGCCTGTAAGCTCTGAGCACTTCTGGATGTGGGCCCAAAACAAAATAAACTCAGAGGAATGACCGTTCAGAATATATTACCAGATTTTACACTTCTGCTCTTGGCAGATACCTACTCATTGCCTTTATTTGGGTAGGAGGGGGATGGCTATGTGGGCTTTTGCCAAAACCAGCAGTGATCTGGGATCGCTCCTTGGCAATTCAGGATGTGAAGTTAAGTCTTTTGCGTTCATGACAAGTGCCCTCCCACTCACTGTCAGCTCTTTCGGGTCCCTGCAAACCTTTGAAATTGCAGCCTATACTTCTGGTTCAGGTTTGCACTGGGAGGCCCCAGGTGCCAGCAGCCCTGCCCTGACCTCTAACAGTTGGGCCTCATCCCTGCCCCCGTCTGTATCCTTCTCACAAGGTTCACATTATTTCTATAGAATTTGAATTCCTGTGGTCAGAGATAGGCCAGGAATGCAGGACGTGTCTTTGCAAGCAGTCTGATATGGTACAGTCTCCTGTACATTGCAGGGTTCCCCAAGCACCTCTCAGATAAGCCCAAACTTCTGCCACTTGTAACCCCAAAACCCAAACCTGCATTCTACAAAACTGGCTGGTGGAGATTGACTTGCGAACAAATTATATATATATATATATATATATATATGTACATATATATATGTATATATATACACACACATACACAAATACATATATATATATGGTTTTACCCTGTGATTCCTGCCAAAAGGTACCAAAAGGTACCCAGTGTGGTGCCGGGGTATACAGGTCAGCCATGTACAAGGCCAGTACCCTACAAGACCATAGTTCTGGCACATAAATTTTTTAATTTACTTTTGGTTGGCCACACCTGATGGAGATATGGTTTAACCCGGCTCTGTTCTCATTGATAATGCTAGGATTGGGAACCCTGTGAGGTTATAGGGATTGAACCCTGATCAGCTGTGTGTCAGACAAGCAATTCATGGTCTGTGCTATATCTATAGCCATCATAAAATTTTTTTATGCTAATCGAGAAAGTTGTGTTCTTTTTTCTGATTAACCACACAATTGTGTTTTTTTTGGGGGGGTCACATCCTG